CAGCTGTGATGTTGTCTGTGTGTTCGCATAAAGCTGTGGTCAGTGGCTTTCTCCTTCAATAAATACTGGCCTTGTATGACTGATGGAGTACATGCTGGTTACGGGCTGTATTATTCTCTGCTGGTGATGGAGCTCTTGTAGCCCCCACTCTCACCTCTATAACTATTGACTTTGGGAAGGTTTCTACTGAAGTTCTGTGACTGGACAAAAAATTTACATAACAAGTATTTCCATGAAAGAAAATTTTGATTTTTCAAACAGCACTGTACCTTTGGAGAAGAAAATAATTCCAAGAATAAAAATAAAGCCTTATCAAAATAAAATAATCTTTCTTAGCTGGCTTTGACTGGTTATTCTCAATGGTCAAGTCTCTCATTTGAAGAACCAAGTGATGTCTCTCTTGCATGGTTGATCTGTGGTGTGATTTATAACCCAGACCATACAAACTTTTCTTTGTTTATGTTTCTAAAAACCAGCAATTTGTGGTTCCCTGTGCTGATGTGTTAGCACTTCGACTGTGGGTTATAGCATCCAATGCCTTGTCCAACAGTGATGGCTTACACTGCGCTCCTCAGCAGTGCAGATCACCTTCAGCTCTGCCTTGGAGCATCACAGCCCACCTGTGTTCTTTCTGGTCTTGTTTTGTTAGATCCTATTCTGTCTGGATTTGTCAAGCCCTTTCCCTTCCTCAGTGGTGGCTGGCAGCGGCATGGCTGCAAGGGATAAGATGCCCTTCCCCAGCTCCTTCCCATTTTTTGCATCACCTTCTTTCTTATTCAGAGCAGCTCCCAGTGCTGGAGGATCAGTGTGAGGCAGCAGAAGAGACCAATGGTTGCCAGCCCAGTGCTCGTACTCTCTATGAGTGCAGTGAAGCCATGGCCTGCCCCCAAGCCTTGGCATCTCCATGTCTGTGCTGGAGGCAACAAAAGCACTGTGACTCATGGCCCCCCTGTAAGATCTGGCCACGTCCCCAGAGGGGAAACACTGTGCCAGGACCAGCCCAGATTGAGAGTTGGAGGAGGATCATGTATGAGAGTTCAACAAGCAGGGAGAAAGGTGGGGATGAGGAAGCTCTGCTTGTCTGTGCTCACAAGGATGAAGGCCCATGCAGTTGCTGCCCATGTTGGGTCACTGGGAACATGCACCATTTCACCAGGTAGGAATGGCAAGAGGAGAGTTCCTGCTTTCCATGCACCTTTTCACCAGGTAGGGATGGGAAGAGGAGAGTTCCTGCCTTCTTTGCCTCCCCGTAACATCAGCACCTATGTGTAAATACCTCAGATGTCCCTGGGGTGCTGTCTTCCTTCCCTCTGCTCCTCAGTCCTTCCTTGGCTCAGGTTTGTGGTCTTCCAGACACCACTGCTGCTCTTTTCCCTGTGTTCTCCACTGTGCTGCCAGTGTGTCCCCACAAGGATGCCAAACCCCAGTTCTCCCCTGGCAGATTAGGTCTCTGTGGTTCCCCCCAGTTTTTCTGCGTGGCCCTCAGTTGCCCAGTGCATTGTGCGAGCGCTGCCACTTTGGATGTTGTGGGGGACATCCGGAGTGTCCTCCCAGCTGCAGCTCAGCAGCCCAGCAATGCTGGGCACAGGTAGGGACAGAAGATGACCTTGGTAGATTTTGGAAAGGTGCCCGAGGCCTGCTGTGACGCCACTCATGCCTCTGAGGGAGCCTGCAGCAGCACGTGTTGACACTGAACCTGACCGCAGGAAGATCAGGAAATGCAAGAATGCCTGTTGCTGAGGGAAGCTGGACTTGGCCCTTTCGTGAATTTGCTGAGCTCTGCAAGTGAAGCCTGTGAAAGAAGCATTTCCTGCTGCAGCAACATCACCCATTGCCCTCCCTACACCTTGTATGGGTCATTTCAGGTTCATTTTTGTCTCATGAAAGCCTCAGCTGCACCTTCTGTAAGCAGTTTCTGTCTGATTCACTTGAAGGCTTTGTCCATGGTGGAAACACCCTCCCAAGTGGGAGGGACACACTCCCTCCTGAGGATCTGCTTCCTTCAGCAGTCAAACTGTGCCAGCCATGTGAGGCCAAAAAAAATAAGCACAAATGCCCCCCACCAACTACGACCCAGCAGCTGCAGAATAACATGGGGACTACTCATGCCTTCTCAGCATTCAGTGAAGAGGAAGAAAGTTCCCCCCACACTTCCACCTGTACCATTCCCTGCCCCTTCTCAAGGCAAAGAGGCAAAATTTAATCCTGACACTCTCTTCCTACCTCGTTCCTGTGCCTTCTGAGGGCTTCTCAGAGAAAAAAAACGAACACATTCCTTCCTGACATATGCATGTACCATGCTGGAGTCACTTTTGCCACTGGCAATGGCCACACACAAAACGTGCCCTCCACTAACCAGTACAACTCAAAATCACCATGTGTGCCAGATGGGGCTTATCCTTCACTGGAGTGCGTTGAGGATGGAGGGTGAAAGGTTCATTCTTCATCAGCTTTATAAAAATACCAAGTTTCTGGAGATGACAACACGGGCAGCAGTGGAGGGACACTGGAAGAACAGCTCTGCAAGGCTGGGGGTGAACATGCTTACGATTGTGTTTGAATTGGAGCCCTGCCACAAAAACTAAAGGAAAAAATGCAAGGTTTTGGAGGTGGCTAACCTTGGCCGCAGCCTGCAGCTGGGCTGGTGCCTGTGCTCCAGTGGAGGACACACATGGGGTGGAAAGACCTATCTAGCCCTTTGCAACTGTGGCGTCAATCTTGCCCCTCACACCTGCTGAGGCCATGGCAGTGCTGTGGCTGCAGCCATGTGAGTATGAAGCAGGTGGCATTGGCAGGAAAACTCCTCAGGGATGCCAAGGACTCAGCGGGTCCTGGCCCCCCCCACTAGTGGTGTTTTTCCACCTCTCAGTCCTGGCATGTCAGCAAGTGCTGGGACACGGGAGGCACCTGCTGTTGGCAGCGCCTATGCCATGTGTTCTTCAATCCCAAAAATCCCAAGTCTCCAGGAGGCTCTGGTGCAGCAGAAGATCCTCTTCTGTTGAACTAAACTCAAGCTATTTTGCTGGACCTGTATTTTAAACAGAGTCCAGAGAATGGCTTTTCATGCTTGTCTAAGGCTTTCCTCTGGGCACCAGCCCCTTCCTACTCCCCAAACAGCCCAATTCAAGTCAGACACTGCTGCTGTTGCTGTCACAGACTGAAAAACCCCAGGCTGAAATGTGGCATTTTCTACCTGACCTGTCTCCTCCTTTCAGGCAGAAGCCCGCCTTCTCGGTGACTCAAGTAGCAAGTTTCCTTCTTAATAATGCAGTCCCCTATGATGAATGTCTAAACAATACCCCCACACCCCTTGCTTTGGAGGTTTCAGGAGACAAGTCCCATCTTGTTGCCATGCCTTGCTGGAGTAAGCTGCTCGGGGACTGATTCGGTCATTGTCCAAATATCTGGCAAACACTCCCACACCGGCCCAACACAGTGCTCTAGCAGCCCCCCTCTGAAGGCTGATGGAAGGCACATCCCTGCACACTGCACTACATGGGGTTCAGCTCCCTACACTCCTCCTGTTCCCTGAGACAGCACAGTGACAAATACCTCGGGAGGAACAAGGCTATACTAAACCTCTTCCCTAATCCCTGCTCAGGCTGTGCAGCTATCAGCTGTAAACCAACTCCAGGCCCTACCTGTGCCCAAAAAGGGAAAGGCTCCCTGCCTCCCTGCGTCACAGCTGAGCAAATTCAGGGCAAGGATCAGGAAGGCACATAGTCACCCTCGATTTTCCATTTCCAAAAACATGTCTAAGGGCAAGCGTTGTGCATGCTTTAGATAAATGATTACAAGGGGTTTGAGACACAAAGGGGAAAAAATAGTTTTGTCGCCTAGTGCAGTGTGACAGTCACGCGGCACATAGTAGGCATGAGCAGCAGCCCAATTCCTGGGGCTCGCAAAACCAAGGGCACAGCGAGCTCTCCCAGGAAGAAATTTAGGCTAGAGGAGCTGAGGAGGCATGGGGGATGCCAGTGGGAGTCAGCTCCAGTTCCTTGTTTGGTTTCCTCAAGGACATTGTGAGCAGCTCCCTTCAACAGCTTTTTAATGAGGCAGCATGGGGAACTTGAGGCACCTCTCAAGCAGGAGGTAGCAGGAGCATGGTGGGGCTAGGGAAGCTGGGTTACGCAGCCAGCAGCACACATGGGGCATGACAGGCGTTTCAGCACCTCCCTCAGCCATCTCATCTCCTTTTGCTAAAAAGGAGAAGCTCTCTTGAACAAAAATTCTGAGTATAATAATTTGGGTATTTGAAACTGAGCAGTGAGAGTTTACAAAGAAAAACAAAATCAGTCCACTATCATTACTGCATGTTCTCACATCCAGCCTCAAGCCCACCCCACTATGGGAAGTCACCTTGGATGAACATTCACAGCAGGGAGGACAGAGCCTGCATATGTACCCTGATGCTCCCTTTGCTTAGCAAGTACCCCAGCCACCTCAGAATAAACACAAACTGGTTTGTGCAGAGGGGAAGTAAATCAACCCAAAATCAGCACCTCTCTGCATGAAGCATGGGGAGCTTCATCTACCCCCTGAGTGACACCACAGAGCTTCTAACCTGGCCTCAGAGGTGATGGTCCTAGTGAGCTGCCACATAATTTGGGTATTTAGGAACTCTGCTGCTTGACTGAAGGCTCCCAAAGCACCTCACACCAAATGCTCCCTCCTCTCCCCCAGAGTGGAGAGCCAGCTCTCCTCCCCCCACTCCAGAGAGCTGAATCATGGCAGGACCAGGAATGGCCAGGCACATCGCCACTTTTTCCTATGTACTGCTATTCTTGGCAGCAGGAGAGGTCACTGAGACAGCTGTCCCGGCCGTGTTGCACAATCCTGGGCATCACTGAGCTATTCCTAATGCTGTGAAACCAGTACCTTGCCTGCAAGTCTGACACTGAGCACCACTTCATTCAAAAGCAGCGGTATCCCTCCTTACCCAAACCCAGGCATGTCCAAGGTGTTTTCTCTTCACTGAGCACACATCACACCATAAACAGTTATTATATCATGCTTTTAATACAAACTTAAAAAAATCTGGAACAATAGAAACTGTACAGATTTGATCAACCTTTTTGTGGGGTTTTTTGTTTGTTTTTAACTAAATCTCTAGACACACCAATATCCCGTTCCAAAATATTGCACAACATTCTGAATACAAAACTCTGATTGTATTACTCCTTCGCTAAAGAGAAAAAAAAGAAGGAAAAAAAAAAAAAGAAAAAGACAGCAACCCCCTGGTTCCCCCTCTCAGCAGTCCCCTTCTCCAAAAACAACCCAAGCAGAGCACACACAGAAATCCTCCACTCAGAGACATACAGACTTCTGTCCTCTTTCACTCCTCTCCCACAAGGCAACTGTTGATTCACTCCTGGAGAGGGGCAGGAGGAAAGGGAGGTTGAGTGGGGAGAAAGGAATCTTCACCACTTCTTTTTTTTTTTAAAGTTTTTTCCTGAAAAAATATTTTTTCTCTCCTCTTTTTTAAGAAAAAATCTTGAAAAGAAAAAAATTACATTTTTTATGTTAGAAATATACATATATTATATATACCTCTTACATTTTACAAATGTAGCAAATTATTCAATACAAACGGACATCAACAAAAAGAACATAAACCCATAAAAAATAAAAGTTAAAAAAAAAAATCTTCTCTCTTCTCTTCCTAAGAAACCAGGTAAATTAGTGCAGGTTTTTAAAAAATAAAATTGAAGCTGAACACCTACATCCAAGACTAGAAAAGACCTGAAATGGCCATTAGTTTCCATTGCTGCCTGATGCTGGAGGAACAGTTCTGAAGCACACTTTTTTCCTTTTAAGATGCAAAGAGGTTGGTCCCTCTTCTTTTCCTCCTTCCACTCACACCACTATTTTTAAAGCAGGTATAATACGTGTGGCAGAGCAAAGCAGCATCAAAGCTTTACACACACATAAGCAAGTGGACAGGGGACACCCCACTTCTTCCCTCCCTCCCTGTGCTGGAGGAGAGCATGCCGTCTCAAGGCAGTGTCTCATAGGTGGCTTTGCCAGATGTGGGGGCAGTGGGGGGCAACTGGACCAGGTCCTGCCATCAGGGTCTGAACACCCCTCAGAGTCCAGTGCAATATGTGGGGTGGCACCCAGCAGCACCCTGTTGGGGAGGATTCCATGGCAGTGGTAGCATCTGTTAAAAGCAGTGGGTTCAAAGGAAAGAAAAAAAAGGAAACAACAGCTGGGCCACTCCTTAACAACTTGTCCTTGTCTGGAAACCTGCAGAGTTGAGGTTGTGGACACCAGCTTTGGGGGAACTGGCTGAGCTCTGCTCTCCTCACCCATCTGCTGCATTGGTCATAGTTCAATAGCAAGCAGCCTGCTTGGGAACCCATGCTGGGCACAAGGTCAGGACCATGTGCCCCATCACCCACCGAGGGGAAGGGTACACTGGAAACTCCTTGGAGAGCTCTGGGCACAGATTGTCTACCTGGGACAGCCCCATTACCTTCTGCAAATGCTCAGTGGCAACACAACTACAAGAGGGCTGGAGTGCCTCCCTCTCAGGGAAGGGAGGAGGAAAAGCACATGGTCAAGCTCATCTCACCTGAAACAGATTTCTTGAAAGAGCACATTGGTTCCACAAGTGCAGGAGGAGTGGATTTCAGACTGTGCTCCAAGAAGCATCATTAAAAGAAAACCAAGCCTCAAGTCTGGGAAGCAGCAAAAGCTTATTTTTCATTTAAACTGAGAACTTCAAAGACTGGAGTTTCATCATCTCCATCTCTCTCCTCTTTGCACACTTCCATGCTCACACAGCAGCCTGCAAGGAAACCTCCCTTTCCACCTAAAAAGCCTTCAACCTTCCTCTGCATGAAGCAGTCCTCCTTTGATGTTCTGTGAAGGTGGGTTTTGGAGTCCTCAGCACAGAAGGGATCAAACTGAACAGCCACTACTGGCTGACTGCCACCCATCATCTTGGAGAAAGGTGCAGAGTCCCAAATCTCATCCCTGCTGTGAAGAGGCACCATACACTCACAGGCTGAGATGACCACTTGCCTTTGGAGAGCCCATCCCAGCTCTGCCCTGAGCTTGCTACTGTCCATGCTGATGTGATCTGGCTGGAATGAGGAATTTATGATAGGTGCTTCCTTTTCTCCCTGGATCAGCCACCTCCTCATGCTTCTCCAGAAAGGCAAGGGAAGGGATTTAGTCAGGTACATACCTGGCTGAAAGCATAAACCCTTATGATACCACTCAAGACAGCAGCTTCAACAACATCACCCTATCTTCTTGAAAAGTTGTGCTGCCTCACGAACTAAAAAGGAAGAAATTTCCTCTTTGAGACAAGAAGATGAATTCACAGCAGATAATGAGAACTCTGACCTCAGAGGCCACCCCAAGTGGATGCTGGCCCCTGCTGCTGGGGGGAACATCTGGGAAGTGGAGGAAGGATCCAAGTGGGGTCCAACTGGTTCAGTTCCACATCCCACAAGCCACAGAGAGAGGCAGGTGGTGTTTCTACACCAGAGGGGCTGTCATCCAGACTTACTAGGCAGCCCTGAGAGAACATAAAAAGCCCTCTTGCTCAGGTACAGAAACGTCCAATAACCAGAGCCACTAAGCTCAAAGCACTAACCCCCCATAGCCACAACTGGAAGTGCAGATGAGGAAGGGAGCAGGAAGAAGCCATTTCACAGTAATGCTCTGCCCTGACTGTGATGTGCTGTGAGATAGTCAGAGAAGAGTTAGTGCTTTTCAGCACACAGAACAGCTGATGCCAGCTTGGGCTGGAGCCACAACAGCACAGTGGTCTGCACCCATGGGCACAAGGCAATGTTCTCTGTATACACAGAAAAAGCAAGTTCACACACCCATTCTGGTTAGCACACAACACGACTGTGTGTGTCCCCATCAACACTGACTCATGCTCTTCTTGTCCCTCCTCCAGCATGGTGGTATGAAGATGACATCCCTACACCCAGGTAGAAAGACCCTATGTCCAGTGTGGGGCAGGAGGTGGTGCCGGGAATCAGGAGCATTGTGACCTACAGTTGCACCAGTCCTGGGCTGGAGTAGGGGAAGAGGGCACACAAACCAAAAAAAAAAGCCCAAGACTCATTTTAAGGAGTAAAAAAGTGAGTAGGAAAAAAGCACAGGTACTGAGTTAAAAAACAATTCAGTGCTTCAGGAGCGTTACCAGCACAGCGCAACAACACTGAGCTCTCACTTTTCCCAAGAACCTATATTTGTAAGGTTTTAATATTTTCTGTATATTTCTATTTTTCTTTTCTCTCCCTATTGTTTGTTTTGTTCTTGACCCCCCCTCCCTCCCTGCCCCAAAATACTCTCCTTCCACTGTATTCAGTTGGCCAGGACGACGGGCTGGAACGACTGGCTAGGATACTGCATGGCATTCAGGTTGTAGCTGAGTCCTTCCACAAAAGGAGATTTCTCCAAAAAGAGGCTATTGGTGCTGCCACCGAAGACCTGAGCCATATCAAAGGTACCACCTGTGCTGGCGTTGAACTGCGATGCTGGTGGGATGCTGCTGGCCTGGCTCTCACTGGCAACACCATCGAAGAAGAGACTGCTGGCTCCTGGCGAGGCGCCACTGTAAACGAACTCCTTGGCATTGGGGGAGAGCTGTGACTGTGGGGCTTGGCTCCCAGTGCTCCCGACGAAGTTCAGAGAGTGCATAGACAGGGAGAGGCCCTTGTGCTTCAGCAGGTTGGTGGTGGGAGACCTGACCATTCTTGGCTGCTGCACAGCCCCTGCTCCACCGCCCCCTCCTCCAGCTCCTCCACCCTTCTTCATCTTGGTCGAGCCAAACTTGGTGGCAGCAAAGGTGGCAGTGGTGAACGTGATGGGTTGAGCAGAGCGAGGGATGAAGGTGGGGCTGGGTGACTGGCCAAAGGAGGGAGATGGAGAGTTGGACAGCGAGTTGTCCTGGCTGCCAATAGGGACAAATACCTGGGCGTCGGGGTTGAAGCTGCTCTTGATTTCTTTGTCCAGCTCTGTGGCACTGCAGCCCTCACTGTCATCTAGGTAGAGAACCTTAACAGAGCCCTTCTCACCGATCTGGTAGGAAACCTCAAAAGGATCAATCCAGACACTCAGCTCTTCTGGCACATTGGCACGCACATCCTCCACAGCCAGCCCACTCCTCTTGGCTGCCAGCTCCACCACCGGATCCACTGTCTCTCCTATATGAACACAGCGATAGCCAGATCCCTTCAGAGGTTTCTCGGGGTACCAGTGACCCTCATACTTCTTCTTCAGCAGGCGCTCTAGCTCCTCACCAAACAGGTCTGCCCGCCTCCGAGGAAGCTTGTTGTACAGGTATGAGATGATGAAGTTAAGAGCAACTTTGATCTCCAGATGCATACTCTCTTCCCAGCAAGCAAGTCAGGGCAGTGTATTAAAAGTGACAAAATGACAGAAACATAGACAAGTTTTGACTCCAAAGAGACCTAGGGAAAGAGAGAAAAGGATGGATGAAGACTAGAGAACACAACAACTCTCCCCATTGAAATAAATAACTGTGCCTTTTTATGAACAAAGCAGAATGAGCAGTTTGCACAAATACTAACACGAAGTAATGCTCTCTAGGAGAGTCACCACAAATCTACTGATCCTCAAAACAGAGGGATGTTGATAGGGAGAACTCTCCCTGCTCCTCTTTCAGAAGAAATAAGGGTGTAGCCACTACCCACACACAAGTATGTACATCACACTCCCCTTGCTGCCAAGCACTGCTGCTGTAACCCGGCAGGCCACTGTCTGCTCTGTCAGCAGCATCTAACACGCCTCTCCTGCCCTGGCACTCAGCTGCTTCCAGCACAGCTCACCTGCACCAGCCTCTCCAGAGCACAAGTGCAGCACCTGAACAGCCTCGTGACTCGCTCAGCAGCTTTGTGCAGAGACCCGCTTGCTTCAGGACAGCAGGGCCAGCCTCTCCTCTGGGAGGCCGGGTGGTTGTGCCGGGTGCCACGTCCTGCTGGCACAAGCGCAGAAGGGATGAGAAGGAGTGAGGGAGGGTGCCGGGCTATCAGCTGCCAGCCCATGTTTACTATCCCCTTGACTAGCAGGCACATATCTTATTAAGTGTACCCAGTTGAGACTCTGCCTAGCTACAAACATAAAACCTCAGTTCAAGTCTGCTGAGCAGGGAACACAAACATGCCAACAGCCTGTAAAATACACCTCACATCGCTTATCCCTGCACAGAGGGAAGATGAGCTCTGCCAGGATCAGATACCTACTTAATAAAAACTGAAATTGCTTGCCAAAGATTGAAGTAATCCTTTCTCCTCTCTCTCTCTCTGCCTTGTGAGGAAGTCTCCAAAATGGAGAGAACCCACAAAAGCACAATGCAAAACCACAACACTCAACTCTCCCATTATACACAGATTTGCAAATAATGTTTGTCTGGGTACAAAAAACCCAAAACCAGGTATGTCAGCACTACACTCTCTCACTCATCCAAGGAAAATGAATCTCACAGATATTTTAAGAGGAAGCACACTTCCAGTAGCCTCCACACCTCTCCAGGGGAAAGAAGAATATCCAGTTTTTAATTGGCAGCTTAGTCAGAGGCTGCTCTGTCTTCAGCTGCCCTCACCTTGCTCAAAGGGACACACTGTGTTCAACTGTCTTCCTAAAATGGGCTTTAGGGATATTCTTGTACAGCACTCAAGCTAATGTTTATGATGTGTGACAATTATTTGGGGGTGGGGATGAAGCACAAACATACATAGTTAGCATTCCCCTGAAAAAGCCCAGCAGTACAACCAGGTATCCATGCTGGCCTAGGTCAGCAGGAGTTAAAAAACTGACCAGACTTGTTTGCTTGGTCTAGTTTAGTCAACAGAAAGGATCAAAAAATTTTGAAGAAGCCCTCAAATATTTTAAAGCTTTACTGCAAAAAAGGGATGCAGATTCTATGCTTTTTCTGTACTACTCCACGTTCACAGAGGTTTAGCTCTAGGAAGATGGTAACCAGAAACAGATCCCACACTGTGGGATCAAGGAGGCCAGATCTGGAAAGAACCCCCTTTAGGTTTGACTCAGCAACATAAAAACAGACAGGAACAAGGGAGTGGAAAAGAAGTCTTGCCTTTAAAACCAGCTTTAAGGAATTAATAATGTAACAAACTTTGGTAGGTCACTGCAACCTGACCAAATCCAAGTAAGAACACATGAACACCGAAGAAATAAGCAACCACAGTTTTTCTAAGAACAGTTAAGAAGAAGCCATTTTCAGAAGGCAAAAGTCTTGGCACAAAGACAAAGCCTTTTCTGGAAAAATTAAGTATGAAACAAACCCCTAAAGAGCACGCCTAAACCCTAACAAGAGCTTGCATAGACTATACTACCTCAAGGGAGGATTACATGGCGCTCTCTAACTTCTTTGGCTTAAGATGTTCTAAAGGGAAGATACCTTGGGATTCCAGCAAGTTAAGCAGGAAGAGAACAGCCAGTTTGTAAGTCTTTTATCTTGTGATAAATTCTAATCTAGATCCAAAATCTATTAAGAGATCGGATATTAAAGACTGGGAAAGGAACAGTGGCCAAAATTTGTTACCATCTTATCTGCTATACAAATGTCTCAATATACATTGAGGACCTCAGTTCCTCATCAACTTTTTGCAGAAAGCTGTGAAGAGGTAAAATTATACATCATCTCCTTTTTTCTTTTCTCTAGTTTACCTAATAAGAGAACACTCTCTACCTTGGTTATGAAAAGGTAAGTTAATTAGCTTAATAACACCAACAGCTGCCAAGATAGAGGCACACAACTGATACCTGCCGAAAAAAGTCACTGGCTTCTCAGGTTGTTGACATGGCAAGATGAGCTCCAGTAGGACCCCCTCAATCTCTTTCTACTGCACTGAAACGTGATAAAATAATTTAAAAGAAATTTAAGAACCCCCAAACACCCTGAAATCCAGCTGAAGCAGTATGGCTCTAAGAGAAGAAACTACTGAATATCAATTGTAAGAGATATTCTGAGCAATCTTCCATAAAGGCCAGCATTTTCAAACTAAAGGCCTACTGTACATCGAGGTGCTGGCAAAGAACAAAGAGCTGTTTCTCTGCGGAGCTCTTCTCCTGCGGAGGGAAGGCAAAAGCCCCCCCAGACTCCCCGTTTATCGGTATCCTGAAGGGTAGAGGCCAGACCACCAGTTACAACAGAGAAGAGTGAACATAGGAACGATTCCCTTTCCTCCCGACTACACCAACACGGTGGGTGACCTTGCGGGTATCCCCCTTCGACCTCCCGAAGGAGGCCCGGCCCTTCGAACAGGCTGGCCGCCGCCTGGGGACTTAAACAGACGGCTGTCACGGCGGCCTGCGGTCCCACAGCCCGACACACCCGTCTTGAACGAGAGCCCCCTTCCCAGCACCCCGCCAAGGGCGGCGGAGAGACTCCTCCCCGCCAGCCGAACGGCCCCGCGGGGACGAGCCCCGCCGCCCCTCCATCCCGGTGCCCGGCCGGCCCCAGCACGCCGGGAGCTGTAGTCCTCGCCCCCCTCCCCGCCCCACGACCTACTTCTCCCCGGACTGCGGCTCCCGGCGCGCCCCGCGCCCGGCCCGGCGCGTCCCCGGGCGGGGCAGGGCACAAAATTTTCCAGGGCACATGCGCGCTGGGGCCCGCCCGCCCTTCCCGGCGCTGCCCACGGCCGGGAACACGCCCCGCGGCCCAGGACCGCCGGGCAGCCGCCCCCTTCTCCCCTTCCCTTCCCCTCCCTCTCTCTCGGCAGGGATGGGCGGGCGCGTCCTCAACCCGCAGCTGTTTCCCCCCCACGGCTGCGGGACGGAGTCCGGGAGGCCAGAAGCCCAGTAACCTTCTGTCTCTCTCCCCCGCCCCCCCCGCTTGTCCCCTTCGCCCCAGTGGGGCAGGCGAGGTGGCAAGCAAGGTTCTCAACAGAGCGAGTCGGATGCATGGGGATATGTCAACAAGGGCGAGCTCCTGGCCCCGCACACCCAGCGGGGTATCGCAGATCGGGGTGTCCAGGAGAAATGGGGGGGCGACGGGGGGAGGGGGGCAGCCCAGCCCAATCCCGACAGCGTCTTTGTTGTCGCAGGGCTTACTCCCCCTCGGAGCATGTCGTGCATGAAAGGGAACACCCCGGCGACATCCCCGTTTCCCGGGAGCCCAGGGCGCCCACCACCGCCCTCGGGCCCAGCCTGCCTTTTTTGGGGCTGCTAGGGCTGGGGCTGAGCCGCATCCCGCTCCCGCCCCCGCCCCTCAAAGTAGGCTGTGGAGAACAAAATGGTGAACTGGGGCACTGCAAAGCGTCCCCAACCCAGTGACTTTCGCTTCCATTCTTCTCCCTTGAAGCCCCATTAATCCCCTCGGTGACCATAACCGCACTTTGACTCCGCGGACGGGCAGATCGCTGTCCCTGGTGGGGAGGGGGACGATGAGCCCCCTCAGACCGAGCTCACAAAGAGGACGCGCTCTGGAGGGGTCCCAGCCCAAGAAGGGGTGCGGGGGAAGAAAGCAGCCCCGGCCCCACTTACTTCGTTCTCGGATCCAGGGCCGGCGGCTGCTGGCGGCTGTCGCGGGGGCCGAGGGCGCTGCCGGCGGGTCTCGTCTCTGCTTTGCCCCGTCTCGTCCGTCCCCTCCCTCCCTTGTACCCGACGGCGCGGGGCGGGCCCGGTGCTGTGGCGTGGATGCCGCTGCTGCTCCCCCAGAGCCGCCCGCGCCCTGGCCCCGAGTGAGCCAACTCACGGCAAACTTTCACCCTTAGCAACCTCTCGGCGCACGGATCCGCTCCCGCCCCGCGTGATGCGGCCGCGGGGGGCGGGCCGGGACTACTTCCCCCTCCCGTCGCCGTCTGCTGCACCCCGGAATGGATGGGGGGGACCGGTCTGGCGGAGCCACCTCTGCTCCCCCCTGAGCACTGGGAGTATCCCGGATCTGAGCTCAAGGGAAGGAGGGAAGGGGCCGCGGCATTAGCGGGGATTGACCTGAGGATTTCCCCAAGTGGCTTAGCCTGAGGCGATGGGGCGGATGGGGGTGGAATCGAACGGAGCGGGGAGAGACGGAACGGGCCGGTGTGGTCCCCGCCCCCACGCACCATCGCTACGGTCAAGCCCCAGCTCAGTAGCAAGGCCAGCCACGGGACTCCCGAAGGGACAATTCTCTGCACACCCCAAGCACGTCTGCGAATATCCCCGTGGTGGAGCCCCCCCACCCGTGACAGTGGAGGAGCTCGGGGAGACGTGCCCACGAGCAATCCTGGCTCCCTCCATCGTTGCAAAACCCTCGGGATTCCCGGTCTCCGATGCGGGCGGGGAGCTCGGGGGCTGCGAGCGCATCTCCCCGGGGAACAACGGGGCAAGGCCAAACCGGGCGGGCTGGTATCACCGCGGGGAGGACAGTAGCAGCACGGCCACCTCCGCGGCCCCGAGACGGGGACAGAGACCCGCCCCCGGCACGCGCTCCCGCCTCCCGGACTATTTCGTCTCTGCACGCCTGTGTCCCTCCGCCTCCAACAGAGCAGGGCCGGCCCCGCCGCGGCGGAGACGAGAGATCCGCAAGGTGCGCGAGCGCCGGCCGTGCTAAAAATAACTGCAGCGTGTTAGCAACAGCCTTCCCATTGGCTGGCCAGGCCCGGCGGCGCCTTCGGATTGGAGCGCTGCCTCAGCCAGTGAGCCGAAGGGGGTGTGCGCGGTGGGCGCTGCCGGGAGATGTAGGCGCCGGGGCGGCCGCGGCTTGCCCCCGTCCCGGGGGTTCTCCCCGCACCTCGGGGTGTTCGCGCCTTCGGGCAGGGCTCATTCGTTCAGGCTGCCCTGGGGAAGGACAGCCAAGGTGACGGCCATCCCTAGGGCTATGGGCCAATGGCGGCCAAACGCTGAGCTGCACCACCCACTGGCAAGCTGAAGGCACTCTCAGCCAGCACACAAATGGATCCGCACCCTTTATTTCAAAGCAGTCCCATTACTAGTTCCAGGAAAATGCCTACAGGCATCCCCAGGCCGTGTATGTTACAGTCCAAAGTCACACCACCTTTCACAGACACCATTTGCAAACGCTGCTTGCTGTCCACACTTAAAGCAACTTTTGACCCAAGTAACACTCCAAACTAGTGGAAGGGACACCAAGAACAGTGTTTCCAGGCTCTCCCAGCCAAGTGTCCCACATCTTCCTCAGTGCTGACACAAGCAGAGGGTGACACAGGCATTACCACAGTCCCTGTTGCACCACGGTAGCTGGCCTGGCAACCATCTCCTAAGTGCAAAAATACAAAGTTCATCTCTTGCCCCATTTCCACAATAGCCCTCAGTCTTCTTCTGGGTTTGGTTTGTCCTCCTGTCTCATTCAGGAACACTTTACCTCAGGTACTGCCTTTGCCACAGAGAGCATTTCTTTTGAGGCCAGCCAACACTGTGTGTTAAGAAATCCACTAATGTTCCTTCCCAACCACAGCAGCCAGCCTTGCTCATTTTCCCACTGATTACAGAAAAAAACCCAATAACTTTTGAAGTTGTTTCTTTTTTTTTTCTGCAGGGAAAGGGGAAAGAAAAGAGCAAGATTTGAGAGCTATTATGAGCAGCCTTATTTTCGTCACTCCTATTTTAAAAGGAATTTAGTTAAAAAAGAACACCTTTTGTTGTTGGTTTTTTTTTTTCAATTATTCCCTTGCTTTGCTGGAAGCAAAATCATACTGTCAGCCAGAGATCAGGAAATTAAAATGACTGAGCTATTTTTAGCATCATTAAACAAAAAAAGACAATTACATTTCTTTAATTCTATTATTGTTTTAATAAGGTGTTAGTAAGAGGCTGTCACATATTGTGGCTCTTTAAAATACCTGTGCCTTGACCGTGCTGCTTTAATTATGGTATCGCCCTTGTACACATGCAGGCAGAGGAATTCTGTCACAGTATCTGTTCCTGCATTCTCAACCATTTGGCTATTAAGTCAAAGCAAAGCTCCCGTGTCACGTGTGCATGGGGAGGGGAACAATTGCCAAGCCACTGGGACAGAGCTCATTTGGTTGGGTT